GGGGGGGAGTACAAAAGATGGAAGTATGGATGGAAAGATGTAGGCTGAGATTGAGAGCAGAGGGTGAAAGTAAAAGAATTTTTTAAAACAACAACAACAAAAAACCCAGGAAGCCATTTACGTTAGCCTGGATGGCCACGTGCTGGCATGTTTCACTAACTTTTGACTGTGCAGCCAGAAGCTGGCATCTGCATTTGTTTGAATGGGATTAACGCTGTGAAATTGCTCAAATTTGTCACTGTGGTTGGAGTATTGAGCATCACTTCTGCTATTTTGTCCTTGGTGAGGAAGCAACATGCCACGCAATGTCTTGCTAGTCAAACGCCTTACAGTAAATGAGCTTGGCAGCACAACACATTAACAGAGCTCGAAGCAGTTTAGCCGACGATTTAGATCGGTTATTCGATAGTGAAAAATTGGAACAGCAACATAATCCCACCAAAACTTATAGCCAGATTTACCACAATGACAGGAGAGAAATTACCATTAGAGCCACTGAAGTCAGCAGTTCACTCCATGAAGTTTCATCAACAAGAAAAAAAAGAAGATACAGAAAGTGTTATAGCCTGGCAGGTAAACACAGATCCAACTGTGTCCAGCCTCTGAGTGAGACTAAGAAGAACCATTACATGTAAATAACAGTGTATAGCTATGCACTTCAACTTCCCTTAAGTTTCCATGTATGGAGTAAAAAAAACAGAAAAAAAGGGAACAACACTGTCAAAAATACAGGACTCCTACTCTAGACGGAGGGAGAGGCAGCGGGCTCGGCAGCCACCACCGACCTACCGCACAGAGTGTGAATCATTAAAGGCATGTGTTCCACATCAACTGCCGGGGCCTCTTCCCAACCCACTTATGAGACTGGATCTAAATTATGAAGGGAGGGAGGGCAGCAGAGGGGGAAGGGGAGGGGAGCTTCAGTATAGTTTTACATTGAGATGAAAACCCCAAACCTGCTAACTCGGAGATAAAGTACAAAATGGCTGCAACTATCCTCTGCCAATTCACAGAGTAATGGTTTAACTGTGTGGTTTCCACAAAATGTGATGAAGTTAACATGATGAAGGCAATAAACAAAAAACTGAACAGCTTCAATTTGTACCTTTTTTTGTCTACCTTACAAAAGCTAAAAACACAACACATGGACGTCTTCTGTGGGTGTGCGTCTGTCCACAAAGCATATCTCTGTCGTGTGGGTATGCCATGACGGAAGTGATCTGCAGAGAGAGTCTGCATTTTTCTGGGTATTGGCTGGCATACTGGTACACACAGCATTCAGTTTGCTTTTGCTCAGAGGCTGGTATGAGGGCAGGTGCATGTCTGAGAGGAAGAGATTACCTTTCTCCCAAGGCCAGGAAGAGCCGGTTTAAAAACAGGACAGAATGGGACAAGACGGGACAGGACAGAGGAGTAAAACAAGTCTGTACAAAACCAGACTGAGGAGGACAAACTGCGATCTTTGATTGGCTGAAAGAAAACTGGCCAACCTTAAGCTCCGTCCTTTCAATCACTACGATGAAAAGAATTTGTCAAAACAGTATGAAATGACAGAGAAGGGATAAGGATAAACTAATAGCAGTATTCTTTTAGCTGCCAGTCTAATACAAAGAACCAAAATGAATCTATATTCACACAGCAATGGTCCGTGCACTTCAAGCCAATATAGCGAATGATGAACGGCTGTTTGTGTTTGGTCTTTGTCACTTTAATATGACAGGGCAAATCTCCCCGCTGGCAACTCCAGCTCTGATGCAACAGTCCCTGCCCCATCTCTGATGCAACAGTGCTCATCCTAATGCTAGCAGCACGCAGGGCACAAGACACAGCACCCCCTCTAAACAGACGCACAGTGTGTGTGTGTGTGTGTCTGTGCAAGGGTGTGTGAAAAGGATTGGAAAAACTTTAAAAAGTCAGCTGTCCACAAGCTTGAAATTTACTCAGCCAGCGAAATGCAGACCATGTGTCATGGGAAAAACAAATGACAACAGAGTCGACCTCTCCACGACATTAATATGGCGAAGAGCAACGCTTATATAGAGACATGCGTGCAAAAAAAAATTGGTACACACAAACACACAAAGTGTTAAATGTGGAAAACCGAAATTACCCGGAGTCAAAAGCAGTGACAAATTCGGGCTTACCCCAAAAACGTCAATCTCGCCGTCCTTGAATCGATTGTGGCTCCTAAGCTCTGAGAGAGAAAAAAAACAGAGAGAGAGAGAGAGATTTGAAATCGAGAGCTTTGTGGTCCTTTATCCACGTGCTGCAGACTCAGTGACTCCCTGGCTTTCTGGCGCAGAGCTGCTTTACTACATGAAAACTCTTACACACTTTTTCCCCCCTCTCGTTCTCCCTATGATCTCCCCACCCTTTTCCAATAGATTGTACTTTCTCACTTGCTGCATTTGTGCCCCAGACATCATGTGAAAAGTGGAGTAAAACAGTGCTTTTGTGGTGTGTGAATTACCTAGGGCCTAGGCAGGCACAGTAGTGCTTATGGCCACAACTCAATTACAGCAATGTGAATCAGGTGGCGGCCTAGAAATCCCCTCAGCCTGATGCACAAATAGGGACACAGAGGCGCCTTCATTGCCAAGACAAAGACAAATCTGAAGTGGCGTGTCATCTTTTCATAGTAGAGCAGCTCATCCGATGCTGTGCAGATGAATGGCTGCTACAGACAACGATCTAATGACTCTGGTTTTCAGCAAGTGTATGAATGCTTCCATTTTGTTTATGCAAACTGCTCAAATATTACAAGTGTTTACTAACAGGTCTAGCTACAGATCTAAATTGAAAGAGTCACATGGTACTTAGGCTATCTGATAAATGGCACCTTTGTGCTGGAGAAAGCATGGAAAACGCTTTGTGGTATTGTTTTCGAACCAAAAACAACTAGCTGGAAATTACAGAACGGTGGTTTGTAAATGTTAAAAGGCACTTTCATGGATGCAACGTAAATGCCAAACTGCACAATCACGGTCAATCATATTTGAATAGAAAATTGGCTCATGTCAAAAGCAGTGAGCTTATCCTGTCTCTCTCTTTCTGAAGGGGGGGGGTTAGCAAATCCGGCTCCAATAAAATGTAGAACTGTGGACCAGGACAGGGTTTTCCAAAAGCAAGAGAAACCAATGACATTTAAAACTGTGGTCTGTTTGGGTATATTTCACTTCACTTGTCACAGTAAGAAAGCAAGTTCCTTACACTTAGTTAACAGCAAGCTGTGGCACAACAGAGCTTTTCTGACAGCCAGGCTAATAGTCGCTCTTTAGAAGGGTCAAGATACTGCTGGAGGAAAAAAACAAAAGAAAACAGGGAAACACCATCCCTTGAGGAAGAAGTGGCCTTTTATAGGCAGCAAATGAATTTTGCAATAATTTGTTATCACAAGCTACCAGGGACAGTGAAACAACAGAGCTTTAAATATAGCATTTTTAAAACTTATTTATGTATTTTTTACACAAATAAAGATTTGGGGTTATTATAAAGAATGGCTTCATTTGCCAATTACAAATGGCTCTCAGAGACACCTTAATTTGGGGTTAATCAGGAAGCAAATTTACAAACTAACATCAAATGCTTGTTTATAATTTCTATGGTCAAAGAAATATTGCTCACATCCTTTTACTACACGCTCACCTTCCTCCTGCATGTGCACATGTCAAAGATGTGGCAAAGTGAAAGGACTACGAGCATTTCGAAGCCAGCTTCGTTTTTAGATGTTTTTTCCTATGAACTTGTCTTTACCTTAGACTTTTTAGTTTTAACCAAATAATGATTTACCAGTGTAAAAAAAAAAAAACAGTTTTAAAGTCTTTGGACAGTTAGCGAGCACAAAAGTGACACGACACAACAGAAAGGCTCAACACTTACACTATTGAATGCTATCTTGTTTGTAGGCTGATATGACTAAGCAGATATCACCCAAGTGTGATAAACCTGTACATCCCTACATGTAATACTTACACTGTCCAGAACTACAGGATATGGACACATTTTGAGGTGCATTGTGAATAACAAAAAAGTAGTTTCATTACCCATTCCACCCTCTGCCCATCAGTTGGTTTGTGCAGAAGCTCCTTGTGCCATTTCCTGTTTTTTTTGTTGTTTTTTTTAATTACACACCCTTACTTCCTGTTTATGAATATGAATGGTATCTAAATCATGTGTTCCTCGTGGTCCTGTAGAGGAAGAGCACCATAATTTCTAGAAAGATGAAACAAGGACAGAGTTTGTGTATGCATGTGTGTGTGTCTGTCTGAGCCTCCAGCCTGCACTGATGAGAGTCGAGTGGACAGGATGAGCCCAAGGTAATCGCATCTTTATCCTTGCTGATGGGTGAAAGCAAGTCGCTGTAGACGCTCACCTTAAACACGAAGAAGAACATGGTGTCGTCACTGTTGACGCGTGGTTTCAAACCAAAGCTGATATCCCCACACATAGGAGGTCTTGAGTGCTCAGGAGATCGCAAGGAAGAGTCTAAAATAATAATTCAGTGGGGTCTCCCATCCTGAGTGTACAGCCCAGCATCTCAGCAACTGTAACTATGCTCAGGGTTGCTCAACCGTTCAAGGTTTAAAAGGTTTGATGGGAAGCAGTCCAAGTCTCAAGTAAAATTATCATCGGCCCTTGGATGTTCACTTATTCACTGTGACAGCATCGCCCCTGCGTAGACTATCAGTACAAATAGAAACTCTGATTTTGAGTACGACCAGCAGTCTCCAAGCGTGTGCTTACTTGGGAATGACAGCCCTGCAGCGAGGGTCATGAGCTCACATTAAAAGAGACACAATGTGTTGTTTTAACTTGCTTGGTCCTATAAAATTCCACCGGCTGGCTGCCTATGCACGCACACACACACAGAGAGAACATAAACCCCCTGTTCTTGAGGCTCTGACTCTGAGCGGTGGAAAGCCCCTTCAGTGACACATAGATCGCATAACCTCTCTTGACACAAGAGGACACAACTCCCAATGGAAAGATGCAGATTCACACACATACTGATTGCAGGCCAAGGCTCCAGACTGCTATTGTCCTTCAGAGCCATCCAAAGAAAACAATGAAGAGGGTCACGCAAGGCCCCCTGTGGAATGGTAAATAACCAGAGGGAGTGAGACCGAGAGGAAGAGACTGAGGAAGTGAGAGAGAGAGATTGAGACTAATCCAGTCTGACAGCGTTATATGGAACACCAAGTGCAAAATATGACCATCTGGGGACAGGTGAATTCCACTAATGTTCAATCATTCAGGAAGAATCTGACACTGCTTGAATGGAAAATATGTCAACTCCATGATGCAGAGAAGAAAAACACACATGAAGAAAGAATGCAAATCATTTCACCTCTATATGGGATTCAGATTTTCTGTAACGCACTTTGAAAATGCAGTGCATTTCTTCAGCCGAGTTTCACATCAATATTTTATCGACTGTAGTGAAATAAAGGGAACCTAAATCTCACGCAGTGCAGGAAACACTCTTTTAATGAGCAAAATCAGTTTAGGTGATTGCTGCTCAGGTCAAAGCCATGCACAGACAGAAAAAAAAGGAGGGATAAAGTCCAAGCAATATCAAAGGCTGAGATTGTGGTGATGTTAACCATTCATTAGTGCTGAGTGACCCTTATTATAAAATCATCTTTGTTGTCATTATTCATCTGGCATAAAATGCTGGCCTGTTAATTCAGACTCAGGATGTTGACAATAGGCGGTCTACAAAGGGCTGAGAAGGCACAGTCTCCCTCCCGATTGGTCTTTCATATGCTAATGAGGGAACTGTTTGGGGTTTACTGGCCTGGTTGGAAATGATTTAGGGCGACACCGGTGCTCTGAGCCTTTATGTTAAGGTTGGCCGTAGGGGCTCATATATCACCCTGATCATTAATCAATTAGCGTCTCCTAGCCACCTGTCGGACACATCGGCACACAAAACATTCCTGCCCTTGGGCAGTTGCTAGACGATGATCAGCAGTAGCAGCAGCGCCACTGCTACCTTCTAGCCCCTCGATAGCCCTCCCCACTCCACTTTATGGTAATACCCTGATGGATTACATAATCACACCCAAATACTGTCACCGACGTCAAGGGCTACTCTCCAAGAGCAGCAGATCTGAGTGGAAGCTGCCACAAACCTTTTACGGGTGCCCCCACCCCCTTACCTCCCAATTCAACACAACGCATTTGCTCTTCGCTGTCACAAACAAGAAAAGAGCGGGCAGAGAGGAATTGATGCGGACCTTGAAGGAGAATCAATAAGCTGACGCCTATTCAAAAGTGCTGAATGCACACCAATGCTGTGTCCTCCGTTGTTTTAAATGCAACTGCCTCCAGTGGGGTATTGATGGTTGCTTGGTATTGACGATGTGACACAATAGCAAAACAAGTGCGCGATGGAAAGGTTCAAACTAACAGGGCATTTGTGAAATAAGTCCAGAAAAGTAAATTTGTTTGTAGATGAACTAACTGCTGACTTGCAGGGTGACAACCAAGTGCTAAACAAATGCACGGCAGACTTCTAACTAACAGCGCACACTTTAATCGTACACAGCCTGGATCCAAGGGTCTGTTATGGAAAGAGAAGGTGAAAAAAGCTGTGCTGAATTTTTTATGGTCTGGCTTTTTTCAAAACACCAACTGACTTTGTGATCTCACGGAGTCACTCGAGGCACAGTGTGGTGGGACTGAAATACTCCTCAAAGATTTCTGTTAACAGCTGCCCCTCTACTCAGCTGCCACAAATTGAGTTTTTTGTTTTTATAACTGGAGATTTGTATGTAAATTTCACCTCTTATGCAAAGAGCCCTCACTGCCACTAGACAATCCGTTTTCCTACAGCCTTGCTTCCTCTGACAATAGACAATTCTCTCCCCTCCCAATTTTTTGCTCCACACTTTTTTTTTGTTATTTGGAACTAATTCTTAAAAGCAGCTGAAGAAATAAGTGGCACTAAAATTAGCACCTAATCCGCCAACCCTCAATGTGAGGACATGGAGAAAGCAGATTTGTCAAGCCTTGATTTAGCAGTATTCTTCCATTATAAAAGTAGCACTCTTCACGCAGCTTAGCAGGACGAAACGGCTCAATCAGTCTCATGTGGAACGTTTAAGCACGAAGGGGGGGAAAGGATGGTGCAATGGCCTATCTGTGAACCCAGAAAGCCTGGCGTCACAATGGTGCCGTTATTAAGCTGCA